CCACCTTGCATCATGTTGTCGACACTTGCGGCAAGAATACACCATTTTGAAATTAAGACATCTTCTTATGATCGGCGTCGTTTGACCTGGACATCGAATATAGATATGGACATAAATTACGACACAGCAATCCCCTCCCCAATATTTTTTTTTCTTTATTTTGGTCTTTGTTCGAAGTTAATGAAGTCCTTTAAGACTCCATTATTACGATCGGTGCTCAACAATTCCACGTGTGATTAATCGCTTTTTGAGCGAAGTCAGAAACAATGACCTCCGGTATGAAAGCTATTCGCTTTTAGACAGAATAAATCATAAAAATGATTCTTCTTGGTGTTCTAAGGAATGTTCTTTTTTTCTTTAATTCCATTTTTTTTATACACATTTTGAGCTGGGGTCGAATGCAACAGCCGGCCATCTGGGTACAAATATATAAACTTGAGGGGTAATCGGGCAGCTAGTTTTATGAATTTTCCCGGGAATGCTGTGATTTTGTGCCCTAATGACTTTTCCTTCGATTTCTTTTGCGAAATTGTTTTATTCTTTTTTTTTGTTCCAGAAATTTTTCTTTCTTCAATACTACTCAGTTGTAAAGAAATCATAAAATAGCGCGTGCTGTATATTGCTTCCTCTTTTCAATAAATAAATACATATAATGTCATTAGTCACATTTTTATTTATAAATACAAATATTCAGACAGAATTTTAAATGACTAAGAACGCATCAAAAAATTATGCAATAAAAAAAAATCATTATAACAAACCAAAATTTATAATTTTAATGGATAATACCTTTTTGTATAATGATTATTATAGGGTTTAAGAAATTCTTATTTAAGGAATTAGCATAAATTTAAAGTTTTTTTATTATTTTTTTTTAATTTTTAATTAATTCCTATCAGATAAGAGAAAATTAATTCATTGCATTCTTAAATTTTGAAAGTAACGAATTATTTAGTGAAACTTTTCAAATAATTTTAGGAGCATTATAAAAAATAAAAAAAAAATTGGATTAATTGTGATGCTGTTTTTTCTCCTCTTTTATTTAGTCCACACACAATAAAATTTTAAGAATAGCGCAGGAGAAGGAATTTAGTTTTGCTTTCTGTTCCATTATTTTAATAACATTATTAGTTTATTTTTGTTGAAAACAAATTTTTAAAAAATGTTGTACATAACAGGGGAATTAAGTTTTGCTTTCTGTTCCATTTTTTTAATAACATTATTAATTCATTTTTTGTCGAAAATAAATTTAAAAAAATGTTGTACATAACAGGGGTTGAATAAAAGTGGCGACAAACTTAAAAGGGAATCACCAGGATTAAAATTGCTTAAGAACTTATACCCAGAAATGTCGTCATAAGCTGCTAAGGGTGATTTCCCATTACGAACTGTTTCCTCATGTGTTTTCGAACAGGCTTTAATAGGGAAGTGCCAATAGCTGCGTAAGACATTTCCGGACCTGGGTTCCTACGCAATTTCAATATTGATGATGTGCTCTAACTCTCCGAGAAGTTTGTCTTAACATTTAAGCGATGTCTAACGTTATTAAACTTGTACATTTTGACAAAAAATAAATAAAGTCCAAATGCCATTTAAAAAATCTGTAGTTCCTAGGAGCAAAACTAGTTCAGATTTGAAATCTCCAATACTAAGACAATACTACTAAAACTAAAAATTCGTTTTATCAACAATATTAATTAAAAAATCCCCTCAAAAAGGAAAAAAAAAAACAATACTCTACTTGACTAAATTTTCAACATGATTTTGAAGCAATGTTTCAAGCTTTTTCAAACACTAATATTAAAAAGTAGAATATTTAGGGTTATAATTGTTCATTTTTTGATGGTAATGTATATGGTTTATAAAATAGATATGGTTAACTTGGCAGAGGCTGGACGATATTGTTGTTCAAACCAATACATGATTTCTGACATCATATAGATGTATAGTCACCGATATTCTGCCTCTATAAGTTTCAGATCTACTTATCTGCATTCGTTATAGGTAGTTTTCAGTACAGATGCTTGGTAGACTATTGTTCTGCCTGATTGCTGCGAACAAAATTGCTTACAAATTGTTTTAATTTTACCACACACGTGCAACAATTTGGCCCTTTATGTATTCATGAGTTATTTTTCTTCTAACTACTCAAAACATTTTCGCAATTTTGAAAAAGAAAAAAAACCCAGACAGACAGTTGGTAAAAAAAAAAAAATTTTTTTTCAAATAAATAAATTTCTTTTTATTGTATAAAATGGTCACCTGCCACTGATTAAGACATTTAAACCAACCCTATAAACGTTCCATATTTTTTAAAACTATTAAATAGATGAGGGTAAAATATTCATCCGGGTATTAAATACTACTTAACATTAAACTCTACATCTGTTACGGGCAGTTTTCAGTACAAATGCCTAGTAGATCATTGTTTCACCTGATTGCAGAGAACAAAATTGGGCCAAACTTGCTTCCAAATTATTTTAATTTTACCACAAGCGTGCAATAATTTTGCCCGTTACATATTCAAGAGTTACTTTTTTTGCAACTCAGACTGTATCAAATTAGAAGAAAAAACACAAAAAAGTAATTTTTTAATAAACTTCCCCCTTTTTGCTCCCATTGTGTAACATGCTCACCTGCCATTGATTAAGACATCTAAACCAATCAAACCAAACCACCCAGTCACGTTTAATTCATTTTAGAACACACGTGTTTTTCTATAATAATACCCAATTACACTGTTACTTTTTGAACGTATTGTTTGGGATAGAACGAAAAGATGAAGGGGGAAGGAATGTTTTTCTAATGATCGCTACCCACTGCCTAAAATATTCTAGTAGTGCCATCAACTTCTTCACCAGATGCATCAAACTTAGCATAACTCGCTCCTAGTGCCGCAAGGAAAATTCAGTCAACGAAAAAGAGTAGTTCTTGGCAAGTTATTATAATAAGGTGCCTTTACCTTGGGGGTCAAATGATAAGTTATAAGAAATGATGATTTACAGCTACAGATCGAGTGCTTTTAACGCTTTCACAGACGGATACTAATGAGATACTTTTATTTTCCCATGACAGCTATTGAAGGGAAAAAAAGGGATAGCTCAGATATAAAACTGAAGAGTAAAACAAATAATTTTCATATTATTGTAAAGTTACAGTACTATTACTGAATAAAAATTATTAACAGTTCAGTCGTCATCATCATCAGTTCTAAAATAATAATTTAAATTATTATTTTAGAACTGATGATTTAGAGCAAGTGAAAGATTGCTTTTAACGCTGCCACAGACGAATATTGAGATATTTTTAATTTCCCATGAGAGCTATTAGAGGAAAAAAGAGATATCTCAGATATTAAGCTGAAATTCAAAACAAATAGTATTTTTTTCCCTGTAATTTCATATTGCTGCAAAGTTACTGCACTATTAGTGAATAAAAATTAATAACTAACGATGTTACTGAATTGTTTTTATGTTACATGCTGTAAATAATAATAATAAATAATGCTGTAAATGCTAAATTATAATAAGGAGTGAGACAAGCTATTTGCTGCTCCGATTTCATGTTTCAAACATATAATTACTGAAGAAAGAAAAACAACGTAAATAAGCTAAGTACGCCCTATCCTCATTTGGACATACAAATATTGAATAAGATTTAGTTATAACAAAATCAGATTCGTATTTTTTTTGTAAAAAAATTAAATAAATAATGAATAAAATATTTGAATTATATAACGAGATAATGGCTTTCGTTATTTTAGCTAAAAAAATTTAAGACGAAAATAATATATTTTATGAAATTATATTTAATAATGAAAAACATTTCAGTTAGTGTAGTTTGTCACATGAGTATTTTGAACACAGTATTCAGAGTTTCCACAACCTGGAAAAAATAAATTAGTGGTAGCTAAGATTTTTCAAGACTTCCGAAAAAAGCTTAAAATTTTGCTTTGAGGATTATGAAATTATTCCCGAGGTATTTTTTTGCACACATATATATTTATATTAAATTAAAAATTTATTGTAGCTTAAAACATTAAGATTTATCTCAATTTTGTTACCACTTAAAAATATTTTACAGAAGGTGGGGACCCCGCCGTAATCTTTCTTCAAGACTTGTGGTGCCATCTAGTACAGCAGCAATGAACTTCTATTTTTATATCCATCTTCTTTTTTTTTTTTAAAGCTTGACAAATATAAATCAATTACTTATGTGTGTGGTCTATTATAATACGTTATTATAATTTATTGCAAAATTAAATTGATCTGTGAAAATAGATATTAAACATGATACAGACTTAGTTACTTAATTTGTTTCATTCGCCCCAAAAATAATGAATCGTTTTAATTTTTATATATTCAGACTTATTTCTCAATTTGATTAAAATAGGAAGAAAAGAAAAAAATTCGGTTGCTCAAAAATATTCTAAAAATGAAACCATTTTTAGAAAGCAATATATTTTATTTTTTAATTACTGTAAAGGATGTTTCTTCAAAAACATTTTTTTATTGTACTATTTTGTCCAAATAAGAATAAAACGAAATATACTACTATTCCCATTTTGTAAAAATCACATCGCCAAAATATTGTTTACGTAATTTTCATTCGGCAATCTTCAAAAAGTCTCACTAAATATTCAAGCTACTTGTCCTTAAGTCCAAATACTTCTCCTCATCAAGTTAATAAATAAAGTTAAACGTTAAAGTTTAACTTGGAGTTTAAGGCACTTAGTTAAGGCTTATTACTTTCCTTGGCGAAAACAGCTTCGAAAATAATTTCGAATAAGTTTAATATCAAAATTTATTTTTAAGAATTTTGATGCTCAACATTTTGATTTAAACAACCGTATTGTTCTTTCTTTCAAGTACCCATACCATCTAAACAACAAGAATCAATTCTCAACACTTAATTCGAAACTTTTGTTTCTGAAAACACGAAAACTCAATATTTAGGAAAACAATATCTATTTTTAACGCCTACGAGAAAAGATTACATACCATTACATTAAGTACCGAAATCGCACACACACACGGCCCGTTATCGGTAATTCTGACGAAAGGGCGATGCGATAGGGTCCACCTAAGCCCTCAGGATACCCCTCTCCGTGACTCACGTTTATCTCTTTCCGTGAATATGTTCCCTCACGATCAATTTATTTTGCCCTTTTGTAGCACAGTCCTATCTCCTTACGCATAGAAACGTAATGCGAATTTTTTTTTCTTCACCAAAAGAATGAGATAGTATCGCCAACTTTGGCGACGCCTAAGACAGTATTCCTTCTCATCGAAGTAAAAACCGATGCACTTGCAAGATAGAGAGTTTTCGCGCAGTCCACGATTTTGGCCCTTGAAGGATCTTTTCTAATCTATTTTTCATATCAGCATAGTCTGGATTATATAGGAAGAGGTTTTTCTTTTCAAAGAAGAAATGGTTTGAGAGAAAGAAAAATATCACCAGCTGAAAGGATTAAGTATAAAAACGGCTTGCCTAGATGGTAAATATGCAGCTTCTTTTGATGGATGGTAAATTCCATTAACGCTGCTTAAAATTATAGCGTGCTGCATATTATTTTTTACCCAGTTTAAATGCGTTAAAGATAGTCTAGATGTAGGTTCTTATCTAAAAAAGTATAAGTAAACGGATAAGAAAATGTTAATAATTTAGATAAATTATATTGCAGAAAGAAAAAAATTACGGAAAATTTATAAGAATTTTAAAAAAAAAACGGCTTGAGCAATGTCGTAATAAGCCACAACTAACTGATCTTTAGATTAATTTCTAAATAGTTGCTTTGCAAGTTACCGAAATCTTGACGAGATGTAAATACAATTTTCAGAACATCTATTTGCCAACATGGAAATTATAACGCTTCTCACCAAAACACGCATTTTTGAAAAACTGTCCTATCAATATATAGGCTCCCACCTTTCATATACAAAATTCATAAAATATTCAAGGTCAATGCCACATCAAATTGATCCTCAGAATTATATCTGATCAATGCCACACCAAATTGATCCTCAGAATTATATCTATTTGGATACTTTTAAGAGTTGTTCCGCGAGATATCAGCACAATACACAGAAGCATCTCATTGCCTACGTAGAAATGTTTCTCATCAAAAACATTCCCCGAAAATCTTTTTGAAATTGTGCTTAATCATTTTATTTCCTCAAATCACTCATATATATTTTATTACTTCCCTTAGCCTGTCATATAATATTCAAGCTCTAATTCATTTAATAGCTTTAACAATATTTAGGCGTATGACTTTAATTATTTATATTTGAACAAGTGTTAAAGTATTTAGGTGGAAAACGTAGAAAAAATGCAGGAACATTGAATAAAATTTTTGTAAATACATACAGTGAATTGTATTTTTGAATAAATATGTATACTTTAATAAAGCATAAATTGCTTAAAAATTTTGTTTGTTTGTTGTGTGAAAAACATCGTTACTTTTAAATTTAAGCATTTAATTAAACCTTATTATCTATGGAGGAATATTTATTTGTCTAAGGAATTGCATGGATAATAAATAAAAGAGTACAGCTTTCGGCTACTTGTTTAGAAAAAAGTTAAGTTCAAATAATGGTGTTTTAACGCTTATTCTACAACTTTAAAGCTGTTCGGAAAAAATGCTACTTTTAATACAGTATAAAAGGGTTGCTGTTAAAAAAAATTACATTGTTTTAAAAACTAATTATTCAAATAATGAAGAGGTAATTTATTGCTGTGAAGTAATTCTAGAAATATACCATTGCTTATTATTTCATTTTAACTAAAATTAAATAATGAGCAGCAGGACCTAATACAAAAAAAAAGAAAAAAGAATTTATACAATGAGCCTGCAATTGACGTCATCAATCTTGGTCGATTCAGTAGCCAATCAGGTACGACACATATGCATGACGTCGCTTACAGGTATCGAATTAAATCTGATTTAAATCATATGGTTAGGATTAATCACTTCGCTTCTTGAGATGCAAGCACTCAATTATACTGTTTCAAATTAAAAAACTGATTTACCATGTGATTTGCTAACTTTACTTTGTAATTAATAAAACGCAACACATAAAAATAAATTTTTAATTAAAATTTAATTTTTTTTTCTTCAGATCATTAAAAGTAAAAAAGAACTAAAAAATATAAAAAAAATAAAAAAAAAAAACTATTCGAATGGAATAAGACCGTAAGACATTTTCAAATAACAATTTTATTTTTCGCAATACTTAAGAGATTAATATTTACCAAACAAGATTTTGTGAGCTATACAGAAACAAATTATGCATTAGGAAACAGAAAAGTAAGTTAAGTAAGTTATCCTGTACTAATTGCTAAGGAAGAATAACTTCTTTGCGAAGTGCAATCTGCATCATTTCTAAATGGACCCATGTCTGCATCAGCAAAATGTTTCCTGCCTGCTCTTCAAATCTAAGAAAACAAAAGAAATTTTCCGGGTCGCTAAATGAGCACTTAACTCCTTGTTTTGGCCATTTTCTGCAAAGCATGCAGATTGTAAAACTCCTTCATCAACCAAAAAGGGTTTAATTAACTGTTTCAGGACTATTTTTCTCTTGTAAAAACGTGCCACAAAACAATAGAATGCATAAATATAATATAAGCATTTTTTTAGCTAGCTAATCATCGGAAAATGTCTTAACTTGCAAATGTTAAATGAAATAGAATTGCTAAGCTAACACTGCAGTTAGCATTTCCTTCGCCGGATATGAACTAAATTTTTATTTAGCTACTTTAAACAGTTAGATGAAAACATCATTACTTTTAAAACACAATTTAACATAAACATCATTACTTTTTTAACTTTTAAATTTATACTCTAAATAATTTTAATGAACAATAGATTTCATCGGAATAATTGGTGTATAAGAAAAAATTAATGAACTCGAATTATGTATTAAATTAGTATGCATAATGTATGCAAAGAATAACCACCAATAACCTAAAATTTGCTGCCTTGTCTCAGTATTTTTCAACTATCATTAAGTGTTGCGTGCATACGTATTAAATTTTAATCTCATTTTCTAACTAACTCAAAAAAAAAATAAATAAATAAAATTTAACATGGTAGTCCAACAATGGTAGTAAATTTAATAACAACAAACATATATCCAAAAAGTAAAAAGTTTCGCTGAAACAGTTTGAGAATTACCTAAAAAGTTACTTCTTACTATTACTTTTGCTAAGTCTCTCTTTTTTTTTTCTAAGAGGAAATAAAACGATTTATCTACAAATTGTAGAAATAATTGATAAGTATTCCAAACGCAACGAGTTTCCAGCTTCAACATCACTTCCTTTCGCCTAATTGAATTTTTTCAGGCTGCTCTTTGATTTTAATTTTCCATTTCTATTCCGATAGCCACCAACGATAAATTAGGCTTAATCCCCAAAGATATTCCAATTTGCAAACAATCGAACAAACGATTCTTATCGAGGACCATTTCGTATTCTGAAGAGACAATTGCAAAATGGTGCTGTCGCCAACGGTGAAGCATTGCTTACAAGTTCCACGAGACTTTTTGAAAAATGGCGACGTCTTTTAACATGCTCCAAGAATTCGTGAAAGTCATATTTCCAACCCCCATTTCAACAAGAGGTTCTCTTTTCAGAATGGGCCTTTTAGTGAGCCGTTCATCACTGGCAAGGATAGAGGTCAGAGATTCGGTTCACAATACGCGAAAATAAATTAAGTGCTGCTTCTTCGAGACGTATATATAATCTCGAACACAGCTGGAATCTATAACTTTGACTCATTTGTCCGTCTTTGCGAGTGTCAAAATTCCTTTGCCATACATTTTCCTAGTGCGACGTTTTTATTTTATATTTTTTTTTGCTCAAGAAGAAGAAAAAAAATTAGTCAGCCGCGGCGATGCATCAAGCTGACAGTCGTCTTGCAACTCAACTCATAATGCAGTTTCTGGCTTATGAGGATTAACTTGGATAAGTCCATGAAGTGTTTCTAGAAATGTCTAAACCGATGTTATTTATCAATGGCACCCACCTCTTCTAATGCAGCACAGAGTGCAACGTCATTGGAATTATTTTCAAGTCTGTGCTTGTCATCTTATAGTAGAAGCAAATACTGCTGACAGAAACATCCTTTGGCGAATGACAAAAAATGTTTGGCTAAAGGATCACGATAGCTTTTATTTTGCTATTTTTATACTGAGCTTATTGTTGTTTGGAGGAAGAGGGGTGTAATGGAGATTAATTTCAACAGCAAGTAAAAAGCATAAATCGCGATTCTCGGCTAGTTTATAAAAACTTATAATTAGAAATGTATTACTCTGAATCTTCTCTATAACCAATTCGATAGGTTCCACGTTAAAAATTCAATATTAAGGAAATGTCGTTATATGGAGGTTAACAATTATTTAAGTGAATACTACAAAATTGTCGGTGTGATAAATTTTAAAATTTATAATAATGACTTTTAATTTTAAAAAAAAATTGAGTAGTTCAATAGTTATGCGTTATAGTTTAGAATCAGGCATTTCTGAAAACTGCACGAAAAAATAAACAAACTTGCATTTACAACTCTACACACAAATTAGGAGCAGAAAAGATCCAAAAATGACGAAAATAGAAAAAATAGACTTCTGAAAAATTCGTTATAGAGAGATAAAACTTTTCATTATATGGAGTACATTTAGAAGGTTAAAGTTGGATTAAAAGTTTCATCGCTGCATTGAGATTCTACAGTTTAGTTAGAGGAAATAAAAACAGGATATAAATTAAGAAAATGAAATAAATTTTTTTGTACGAAGGGGACGCACGTTCGTAACAAAATATGTTTTATTACTAAAACTCAAACACTATTTGAACTTAACAGCACATTCTTAATCTCCAAAAAAGTTTTGCTATGGGATGAAAATAAAGTGAGTTTTGCGGTTAACGTAGTACAGGTGCTATGCAAAATCTCTCTATTGACATTATTAAATCACCACAAACATGATGTGTACTCTGTGGCATTCCAGTTTTCTAAAACGACTCTACAATTTTAAGCAGCCTATTAGATAACGTATTTTTACAGTAATAATATATATTGAACTGAACTGAAAAATTACATTAATATTCAATATGTGACATCAATCTAAACAGTACAATAAATTTTAAAACAGCAACGAGCAGACAT